GGGAAAGCACCGATAACTTAGGTACGTTAATACACTCACACAAACTTAGGTATTTTGCTTTGTTTGAATGTTTTGAGACAGAGTCTTGCTATGAAGTCCATCTGGCCTCAAATTCATGATCCTCTTCCCTAGCGTGCCAGGATTACAGGAGTTTATGAGGATGGCTCGCCTAACACACATGCATTTGTGTGTATGTGTGTATCTCAATACGCTCTGCACCTCTCTCAACCACCTCCTTTCTGAAATGCAACAGGCCTTGCATCCTGCCTTTCTGAGCATTCCATCCGCACTCATCTGAACCCCAACAGATCGAGCTTCTCTCTTGATATTATTTTTAATTTCTCATCAGCTGGCATTTCTCATGTCCACTCAGGAACTATTTTTTTTAAGTTCTCTCAACCATAGGGGCTCTGAGAAGTCTTAGTCATATTGCTTGACAGATACAAAGAATATTCCCAGAGCAATCTCCCCAGAGAGCTTAAGTAGGCTCTCTCCTTTCCCAGATGGACTGGAAGGTGAATCAAGGCACAGTACTTAAGAGCTGCAGGTGGAGTCACTTTCATCCACTACCAGCGTCTTCGCTGGGACAGCTGACCTGCTGCTGGAGGAGGTCCTGCTGTCCATCTCTTCACCTGGTCACCTCTGGATGCAGAACGTGAACCTTGCTCCACCAGGTGAGAGTGGACTACAGATTGAACTCAAGACCAGCATGAGTTACTCAGGGAGACCTTGTCTCAAAATCTAAGAATTTAAGAAAAAAAAAACAAAAAGATTAGAACTCTAGGTCAGTTGTCAAGCATTTGCCTGGCAGGTTAGAAGGCCCGAGTCCATCTCCAGCACTGCAAAAATAGAAAGGATGTGGATTAATCAACTAGGTTATTCATCCGACATGGTTCACCTTTGTTTCCTCAGTTGGGATCAGAATGGAGAATGAGGAATGTCTCACTATTACATTGTCACCTGGACTCACAAATGTCACAGCTTTAGTTACCCGAGTTAGCAAGAGCCATGAGTTATCTCTCCTGACGCATGTGACTCAGGAGGAGGCTCTACTCCACGGGCGTCTCAGTCGGCCCCTCAGTAGACCGGGGGCTGGCTACGGAGGCACTATGTAAGCTTCAGACGAAACAGACTCAGTTCATAGCACAACACAACACACAGGCTGCTTTCAGAAATTGCCCACAACGTTCTCACAGAAATCTGTTTAAGGAGGAATTCTTACATCCACTTTAGACATTAGACTCCTGAGGGCTGGGGTCCTTAAATAACTGTTGGTGGGCTCTGCAGAGAGTGCCTCACTATAGACTGGATCTGTAGTCCGTCTTTGTGATGATATTTGAAAGGAAAGAATGAAGGAGGAAACAGATACTTGCTTGGTGCTAGCATTTGAGTCCTATGCCTCTGGATCAACACCATTCTATTTTGAAACCTAAGCTATACTTTTATATATGGTTTTTCATTTTTAAAAAATTATGGAACCGACATATTCTGCTTTCCAATTATATACACATTTATGTACAGATGCAAAGGAACCTGCGAGTTACCTTTTGAGACATGTGCTTTCATGGGCCAGTGAAAGCAACATCAGCTCTAGGCAGATGTTTCAATGGTTGTCATCGTATAGAAAGTAGAGAATGTGAGGGAACTGGGTTCAGGCCAATACATAGATGCATCAGGAAAATGCTCACAGTCCCCTTTCATTTTCAAACTTGAGCTTCAGAAGCAAGAAAGGCCTCCCGTGATCCAAATATATACAGGGATGCCTCATCTGCCCTGGGGGCACCTTTTGCTACTTATCTACATATTTTCAAAATTAAGTGGTATATTTGTAAACACCTGCTTGCAAACCACATAGCGACCTGCAGAAGGCATGGTCCCATGCGATCCTTAACAAAGTGCCAGGGATTGAGCGGATTCCCACGTACTGGTGGTAAGGGTGATCCTCAGCGTCAGCCTGCCTGGGTTTAGAATCATCCAGGAGACTGGAGCACCCTCTGGGTTTGTCTGCAAAGGTGTTTCCCACAGGATTAACTTACAGGACAAATGTGGGTGGCCCAATCCCACGGGAAAGGGGACAGAAAAGAATAAAGGGAAAAGAGAAAAGCAGAGAATTTTAGCATTCTACTTTGTTTTTGCACCTGCCACGATGTGAGCTGCTCTGCTCGCCATGCCTTTCTGGCCATGGTGGACTCCATCCTCTGACGTCAGGAGCCAAATTCAACCCTCCTCCCCTCCTTCAAGGCAAGTGTTTTGGTAACAGCCATGCAAAGTAACTAACACAGCTTTCTAATAAATTATTCATAATTGACAACCTAAAATGTACAATATGATTTAGTTTTCCATCTGAAGACAAAGTTCACATTAGGTGGATTGAGCTCTTCCATTTCACGACTGTCTTGGGTCCGTCCTTCATCGCTCCTGAGCACACACAGCCCCCAGATAGCCTTGGCTTCCTCTGGTGCCTTCTCCTGAGGCCACCATCTCTCCCAGTCAGTCAGAGCCACCATGGCCAGAATTCCCCTTTCTCCAAGCACCAAGTTAGCAGATGACTGATAATGGAAACGTGTTACCATCTGTGAAGCCACAAAATGTTTACAGCAGAGAGCCAATTAAGTCATTGGGGGAGGGGATGGTGGGTGGGTTCTGATTCTAGAGGGAATCGCTGTTGGAGATGAACTGGATCTAAGAGTAGAGCTCAGAGCTGAGCAGCAGACCCAGCATCTGGGTTGATGAGGACTGGTCTCCAATTTAGTGTTGTGTGTCATTGTCTCTTATTTCTTGGTCAGAATCTAAGCTGGTCCTTTTCATATGGCTCCCAGGAACCTAAATACAAACTTATAAATATTGAATATAAAGTATGTAACCAAACTTTCTTTATGAAGTGTATCCTTTAGGGGGCTGGAGAGGGGGTTTAGGGGTTAAGAGCACTGGCTGCTCTTGGACAGGACCTGGATTCAGTTCCCAGCACCCACATGGCAGCTGATAACGCCTGCAACCTGAGTTTCAGGGGTCTAACACCCACTTCTGGCCTCTGTGGGCATTGCATGCACATGGTGTACTACATTCAAACAAAAACACTCATATACATAAAATAAAGATAAATAAAAAATGTATCCGTTAGGAATTCAGGTGAGCCAATTTGGGGAACTCAGTCCCTTAGCACATCACATCTGAGTGATGGTGGTTATTCTAGAATTCATGCCCAGGTGAACCAACCACCCAGTCTGTAACAGAAAATATTGCAGGAGGATGTGTGTCCTAGGTTAAGAATGTCACTCACTGCTCAGGATTTGGGTGTAATGGCTCTGAACCTTGAGCTGAGAGAAGAGGCTGGTCTCTACCTCTGCTACCTAAAAAGCTCCAGTCACCTCTCCTGACCCCACGTCTTCATGTCTGTGTGACATCTGGGTCTGCAGGACACATTCTCAGTGTGCCTAGACACTCCAGGAAACCTGGCTCAATATTTAAAACTCTTGTTGAAATGAGGCAGTATAGTGGCTTACCAACTTTCTGGTTTTTACAAGGTTTTGGTCTGGAGTGAGGGTCGAGTTTTCAGTAAATCCATAATCCATTTCCAAGTTAATGACCTGAAGACTTTCCTCAGTAGTTGCTTTAGTAATCGTGCCTGATGTAATTACACTACATGTTGGAAATATGCTGAACATATGCTTACTACATTTTGCATTCACGTATTTTTTAGGACATTTATTTTCTAATAAAAGAGAAAAAAATAAACAAAATATATTACTGTTTTTACTTAATACATTTTAATATACTGAAATATGTTAATTTAACAGTAAGTAAACAAGCTACTTCGATTTGAAAATATCAAGTGCATGATTAAAATGAATCTTTTTTTTTTTTTAATCAGAAAAAGAAATTCAGGTGTAAATCATGGCAACCACTGCCAGTTCAAAGCACTGAGTCTTGGGTGGAGATGTGGCAATGTGGTGTGGCGTGCTGTCTGGCACATGAGGCTCTGGGTTTGATCCTAGCACAAAATGCTAGGTCTTCGTTTGCTTCTTAGATTAGTCTGGTGAGGGCAGAAAAATTTCTCTTAGTACTTAGACAGCAAAAAAGTTCTTGAGGTGATCACTAGTGGAATTAACACCAGCCGAGAGGGCAGGGAGAAGGTCAATCAGCAACAGAAAGAAAATCTGAAGACTCAGAAAATCTACAGGAAATGAGGAAGGAACTGTGTTAATAACACACATTACATAAGAAAAAACAAAAACCTCTATCTTTGAAAACAATGTGTTAATGCTGAAGTGTTCACAACAGCTGATCTGCTTCCTCTAACTGAGTGCAGGGGACTGCCTCCACCCAGGGTCAGGGCTCTCGCTGGACAAGGGAACTTTGGCAGGTGTTCGGCCCTCCTCCTCCTCCTCTTCCTCTTCTTCCTCCTCCCCTCCTCCTCTTCCTCTTCCTCTTCTTCCTCCTCCCCTCCTCCTCTTCCTCTTCCTTTTCTTCCTCCTCCCCTCCTCCTCTTCCTCCTCCTCCCCCTCTTCCTCCTCCTCTTCCCCTCCTCCCCCCCCCCCTCCCCTCCCCCCCTCCCCC